TTTTTACAGATAAGTCCGAATATTCATATAAATATGTATATATATAAACAATATATAAATTGTAAACAAGTATAATTTTCGTAATAAACATTAATTTATATAAATTTTTGTGCACCATACAAGGATTTAATAATACAGTTAATATGAAATTAATATTTATATTACAGTTTGTATATGAGAATGTATTGAGTTTATATTGTTTTTAAATGCATAAAAATATATAATAATTTTTGAAGCAGTATAATCAGATCATATACTTCACTTAAGTATTTAATCAACCATTAGAGCTCTTTTTATACAAGATCACTTTGTAACTTTTTTAATTTTAATATATGGTAAAGTAATTACAATTACCTATCCACCATTAATTTTCATCAAACATTTTCAAATACTAAATTTAAAAATAATATGAAATATTATATCATATCAGCTATCGAAACATTACCTGTATTGTTTTACCCTTATTAAATATTCCCTAATCTTCCCTAAAATATTATTGAAATATTAATAGGTTATTTATGAAGGCACCAATCCAACTGAATTAGCTTATGAATGAAATGGTATAAATTTCTTATATAGCAGTTTATAATATATTTTGTTGGAGGAATTTCATTTAAAATGAATCATTTATCTTTATTTAAATTATTTGTTAAATTTTAAAAATTATCTCACAGGATTCACGAATTTTAGCAATTAATAATATATTATTATTATATATATTATTGTTATATATATATTGTTTGCAAATTAGAAGATTTATTTGTGCTTTTATTTTTAATTTTTCTTTAAGCAGAATTCGACCACTTAATAACCAATATTACTTTTATTCAGGATTTTTTTCATTCTATACTATTTAATTTGGGGGATTTTATATAGTACACTATTTTTATTTATGGGATTTGAACTTTTGTGCTAATTTATTCAGGGGATTTCATATCAACTTTTATTTTCAGCGGATTTGAATTAATATACTATTCTTATTCAAGGGATTCGACAACATTTACTAAATTTAATCAAGTTCTATTTTGTACTGTTTTATATGGAGGATTTGAACTCATATGCTATTCATGTTCGAAGGAAACGATATACTAATTTTATTCAGGAAATTTTCTATATTATATTATTTTATTCAGGGCATTTTAACCCATATACTTTTTCATTCAGGGGATTCGATTCTACACACTAATTTTATTCAGAATTTTCTATCCCATACTATTTTCCATCCTATGCTATTTTATTCAGGGAATTTGAACTCATATGCTATCTTAATCAGAAGATTCAACCATATACACCAATTAGAGTATTAAGTATTAAGAGGGTTTAATATAATTTTGGTATTATTTTTATTCAGTCTGCTTGAACTTATATGGTAATCTTGTTTATGAAATTCGAGCACTTATACTAATTTTACTAGGAGGATTTTCTATCATATAGTATTTTATTCAGGGGATTTGGATTCATGTGCAGTTTTTAATCAGAAAATTCGACCACATATCTTCTTAGTTAGCGGTTTAAACCACATATTCAATTTTATTCGGAAGATTTTCTATCCTATATCTACTATTTCAGACAGGCGATTTAAACTCATAGCTATTCTTGTTTATGTGATTTGACCACATATACTAATTTTATATAGGTGATATAATTTCATTAAATATTTTTATTCAGAGAATTTCATCTCATATGCTATTTTTATTCAGGGTGTTTAATTTAGAGTCTTTTGTTTTTTATCCAGCTTCATAAACAATTAGCCATCACACTTAGTTCTTGTACAATCAAATCTGATCATTTAATTCGATCTATATTATCTCAATAATCTAAACTCATATTTTTTTACTATTATTTTTATTTCTGAACTCATATTTTCTCATACCAAGAACCTAAGAAAACTGAGTAGGTAAACATAATTCAACATTTGGAATACTTTTCCTGTATCTACATATAGATAAAACGAACATATCCGCACGTAGCGTGCCTAAGTTTAATCTAAGTCATAAATAGCTGTACTTCTTTAACAAGAAAAATGACACCGAAAATACGGAAATTTCGAAGTGGGTTTGTGTTACGATAAAAAACTCTTGTTGACATTGCGCCGCCTTAAACGCTCTCAGGCATGAACTGAAGGGAACGGAGTGGGTGGCCAATTTCACCCACTCGTGTATGTATGTAATGGGAGGGATGAAATTATTATTTTTTTATAATATCTGGCGTTTTTTAATTTTTCTTTAATAAATTATAATGTGTCTTTATCAAAAGAAATTCATTCAGTAATTTTGAGGATAAATGAGAATTATCAGATATAAACCTAGAAAAGTTTGAAGTAAAGCTATTTTAAATTGAATATATTTTATATAAATTGTAAGTATAATAAATTACTAATTAAAGCAAAAATGGATAAGTAAAATAAATTGAGATCATAAAAATTGAAATAGTTGTAATTAGAATAAATAATTATGTGGAGGTATGTTGTCGGTGTTCTAATCCTTATCACGCTAAACTAGTTTGCTTTATATAAAATCATAAAATATTAATAAATTTTATTAAAACTAAGTGTAACGAAATAATCAATAAGAAAGTATTTAGATATTCTGAGTTTATCACATAGAATATCAATACCACTTATGTATCCTTGATCATTTTATTTACTTGTGCAGTCATATGAAGTAAAATTAAAGTACTATATGGAAAAGTAGAGGTAAATATGATGATTAATCAATTAAAGCAAAAATAAATAAAATAAAAGTAATTGTAATTAGAGTAAATAATTTTGTGGGGGTACTTTGTTAGTGTTCTAATCCGTATCATGCCTAGACTAATTAATTTGCTTTATAAAAAATCATAAAATATTAATTAATAATATTATAATTTATATCAAAACTAGGTGTAACTAATCGAAATAATTAATAAGAAGTGAAATTTAGCCATTTAGATCAAATTTTCAACTGTTTTTCTAAAATAAAGTTTTCGCTTTCCCTGGACGCTAATAATAATGATCATGATCTCCAACTAATATCATTCGATCGGTTTTAAGTTTCCAAAATCGTTTTGGGTTTTTTGCGAAAACTACTAATATCTACTAATATCTACTAATTACAAAGAAAAGACTCGACCGATCACCCCACCAAATTATTCGGTAAATATAGTTTTTCAAATGGCTTTTAAATTTTAAAATTTAAATTTTTAAAATCGCTGTCTTTTAGACGTAAACGAGAAGTAGAATTTAAGGGTGCAAACGTAGACAAAAGGTCAATATTTTCATTCATAAACACACACATACTTCTTTATATTTTGGTGTCAAACGATTCAGAATGACTTGAAACGTCGAAACAATATAAAATTATAATTATCGCAAATGGGAAAGAATATTTTCTGATTTTTTTCGGATCTTCGGGAAGTTAATAATATTCTTAATTCAATATGAGAACCAGTTAATAAAGAATGAGGTTGAATGAAAAAATATTATCTCAAAGAAATTTCTTCATATAAAATCATAAATTATTAAAAAGTTTAATCATAAATATACTTGTAAACGAGTAACAGTTTCTATGTATATCTCCTTTGAATAATTCAATAGCTTATTGGAAATTTCTTTAGAATTTCATTTCAATTCAATTACACAATTCATTGTGTAAGTCTATTAATATTTTCATTTCAAATTTTTTCTTGGTTGGAATTTCAAAGAAATTTGTTATTGTTGTTTACAAGAGTGGTTTCTATTCAGTTTTTCTATATTTATTATTTTGTTTTATAGAAGTAATTTAGAATGATATAAAAAATATACGTTGTTGAATGCGTTCTGACGGTTTTGAATTAGTAGCTATAGCTTAATAGACTTTGGATAACCTAGTTTTATTGTATTTTTATTTATATTACATTAAATGTCCTGTAAAATTGGTATAAGTATGTCCCAAAATATTGTCCATGTAAATAGCAACAGTAAATATTAAAAGAATAGATAAGTTTTAATTGTTCATTTGATTCGCACAGCTAATAAGTATAATCCACGTGTTTCGATCTTACTTATCTTTGATTAAATTCAAGTGACCTAAATATTTATCTTTTAATTTATAACGTATCTATCTTCATAATACCATAGAAAATACAAAGATAATTATTATAATGAAGTATTAAGAGATTAGTTCATGGTAGGTTCTGATCCAAATTAATCCTTCTCGTATAATTGCATAATCTTGTCATCGGATCAATAATCGGTTATAGAAATTGAATATGATTGTGATATTTGAAAATCTATATTTATACACACTATTATATTTATATACATATACGTACGCATGTAGGAAGATTATTATTCCTGTGTAAATATAGATTTTCGAACAATATTCAATTTCTGTGGTTATTGATCAGGTAATGAATATATAAATATTTGCTTTTATTTTTGTGTACTGAAAATGAGCGTTAATTTTTGAAATTTAAATCTTTCAACGGTAAAAAGTGAATTTTTAGAAAGTGTAATTTTTTTTTTAACTGTTGTTGAAGAAGGAGACATTCCAAATCTACAAAACTTCGAATTATTTGCAGATGAAACATTTAAAAAAAGAAATCTATTTTGGAAAAATTGTGTTGTTAACTTTACTGCTCATGTATAATATATAGCTTGAAATACTAATGGCCAATAAATTTCTCAATTATATTTTTAAATTATTACAAAATTGAAAATATATCATCTTAATCATTTTATTTTTTCGATTAATTTTACCAGCAGCAATGAGATAAATATCTTCTAACTAAATCGCACGATTCAAAATCTATATATAAAATTGATCATCACAGTGTTTGCTAATGGAAAATTAGCTATCAAATTAATTTTAACGGTCTTGCTAAACTGAAATAAGTTATGGTTTGAAATTTGAGTCTATAAATATGAAATAACAGGCATGGTATTTTCAAATATGGAAAGAGAACTTAATTTAAATAAATTATTTATTATGATAAGTAACAAATATACAAAATAGATTTGTATTTAAATGCATAAATAGAGATCATATAAGTTGTACAGCTCCTGAACACACCATTTCGGCAATTGGTTCATATTGCATAACATGTTGCGATCCTTCTGTTAAGTCCACTTCATCATCACTAAAAGGCACTACTATCGCAGCCACTAAAATAAAAATAATTTATATTATACTCAATCCTACTTGAATAAGAGATACAAGCTTGAGGATGTTTATAAAGCTGCAAATATAAAACTTACGGGACTTTTTGGCTTGAAGAAATACATGTGTTTGCATATTGGGTTTCACCATGGTTAAAGCAGGATCAGTTGTTTGGAAGTTCGGAGGCATATGCCTTAATGCTACTTGATTCAAGTGATTTTCTTGATTTGCTAAAAATTCTTTAGCAAAAATTAGTTCATTGGGCGATAATCTAAAATGAGAGGCAAATTAACAGAAATCATCCAAGTGGACATAAAAGATTGCAATATGTAATGCATTATGAACGAATCTAGTAAAATATAAATTTAAATGGTTAATCTGTAAATATTTAACTGTAATTCCATATTAGATGAATTTGTTTGAAACAAGTAATTTATTGTGCTTTTTTATATCAATTGTTTGTTCAACTATTAATCTTACATGGTAGGATGCTTCAATATTCAAAATTGAGTCCTTTACCAAATTACCTCTGCTCATCAGGAGTTCTTTCAGATTCCTGTTTTAATATATACTGTGTATAAAGTTCTATCTTTTCCAACCGCAATCTCAAATAACTGGAAATGATAAATCTAATTCTTTCTAATTCCATTCGATGAGCCAACAATCTAAAATCTTGTTTATCCAACTTGGACATATTATTTTCCATGTGTTGTATTTGTTCGAGCATACAATCTACTACTTCAACTTGATGTGGTAAAATTTCTGGAGAAAATTTTTCGTTTAGCCATGCACTTTCTAATGTTTCTAGGACCTAGAGATATAAGATGATAAAGAAATTTTAGAATATTCAAATATAATTTCTGTTACTTACTTTTTTGGCAGTGACAACTTCTTCTTCACTCAAGTCTGAATTAATAGTATCGTCCATGTTGTAACTTTTGCAATAATTGAATATAGTTTATAATATGTCAATTTCTATTTGGACAATTGATAAGTAACAATAAAAAAAATAGTTTTGTCTTGTGAAGAACTTGCAGTGTACTTATATTATTTACATCGTGTTTTCTAATATATTGTTGACAGAAGTTTATAGATGCCGCCATGTTTTTTTTATATATTGCTGATGCTGTCAATATAAATGGATTAATTTACTTTATAAATGAACAGCAACAACGCAATATTCGATTTTAATATATATATATAAAACACAAAATATTAAAATAATAAAACAGATCACAGAAAAATATATATCTTAATCAGGTTTTGACTTCAACTTCTAAAATTGCTTTGAGCATTTTTCAGATGTCGCCATTTTTTTTTTATACATGATGCTGAGCAAGTGTTTGTTTAGATTGGAATTTTAAATGTCAAACAAATGTGAAATTTAGCATTATTTAGGATTTCCTACAAATTATGTATTACTTAAATCTTAATTTATATTATATATTTATGTGCATAAAAATTACTTAATATTATCTTAAAATTCTTAAAAGTTTTTGACAACTTTCAAAATGAGTCTTGATATTGATATTTGTAGAATATGTTTACAAAACGGTGCTAACACTTCAATCTTTAATATTAATGGCTCAGAACAATTTTATATCCAAATAATGTCCTGTGCGCAAGTGGAGGTACAATATTATATATTACCATCAAAATATATTAAATATTTATATTGTATATACATTTCAGATAACTATAGATGATGGTTTACCTAATGCATTATGTGATAATTGCATAATGAACTTAAATACCTCATATAATTTCAAACATTTATGTGAATCATCAGATTTAAGATTACGCAATTTGTTATCACAACATTTAGATATAAAAGTAGTACCAGAAATAATCGAAGATGATCAAAGACTTGTTTTGAGCCATTATATTATGAAAGACGATGACAGGTTACAACAGGATTTAGATTTTGAAGACATCAATGTGATCAAAATAAATTATTGCAATGAAAATGATATTAATGAAATTCATGATCAACCTCCTATTGAAGTGCCAAATGAAAAGCAAAAAAGTAAAAAACCTAGAAAAACCATTAGACCTAGAAAAAAGAAAATTAAAGTTAAAGAAAAGGCTCCAGACAAAGTCATATATAGATGTGATAAATGTAAAACAAATTTTGAGGGACAAGACTTATTAGATGAACATAGAAAAATATGCAATGTTGAACCTGAGGTACTTGAGTGTAAAGTGTGCCATAAAATATTTAAAGATAAATATATTTTAAATAGACATTCCAAACTTCATAATGGTAACTATCAACTTCTTTTTATATAACTTTTAAAGCATTTAAATTAATATTTTTAAAAAGTTGAACATTTTAAACAAAATTCATATTCAAAAACAGCAAAAAAATGTTAATAGCATATATATATTAAAATATATACTTATATTTATTAATATAAATGAAGAGCCTGAAAAGTTGTTCTTGAATATTTCATGATCAAATTATTCATATCAATCAGATTCATCAAGATTCGATGATTTCTTGATAAACACTATATTTTTATACTATAAATAAAAACTAAATAATCATATTATAATGTAATATACTTTTAGTATATGTATACTTTTATTGAAGATAATTTTTATCCTTAGAAGCTAAACCAGCAAAATTAAAGCGCCACATGTGTGACTTATGTGGACATACATTTTATGACCGCTATGGACTCAACATGCACAAACGTAGCCATTTTGGACATCGTCCATTTGTGTGCCCCGTTTGTGGTCATGGATTCTCCCAACAAAGCAATATGGAGCGTCATGTTAAAGCCAAACACGAAAAAGTTAAACCATTCCAATGTAGCATTTGCTTTAAAGTTTTTGCTTATTCATATGTTCTAACTGAACATCATAAAGTACACACGGGTAAATCAAATGATAATATATTATATATTTCTTTTATGAAGTTCGATGACCCTCATTATCAATTTTTAGGAGAAAAGGATTTTGAGTGTGGTGTTTGTGGTAGAAAATTTGCAAAAAAGTTTGCTTTGAATCGCCATATGGTTACTCATACTTTAGAAAGACCATTTAAATGCAAATTATGTGAAAAATCTTATACTCAATCAAATGACCTGAAAGCACATGTCAGGCGCACGCATGAGAAAGAAGTGCCAAATATACAAATGGAATCAATAGACATCCAGGCCCATATAAATTCATACCCATTTATGGAATGTAATGCAATAATTGAAGAAAAGGAGATTGTACATTACCAGACTGCTCTTGATAATGGTTGTCTGAATGAAATAAATATAGAAAATTAAATTTATTTATGATTGTCAGGCGCACGCATGAGAAAGAAGTGCCAAATATACAAATGGAATCAATAGACATCCAGGCCCATATGAATTCATACCCATTTATGGAATGTAATGCAATAATTGAAGAAAAGGAGATTGTACATTACCAGACTGCTCTTGATAATGGTTGTCTGAATGAAATAAATATAAAAAATTAGATTTATTTATGATTAGAGAATAAGAAAATTGAATGTTTTATATATTATGAAATTATTCCAATCGTTTTATCTTAGTACAAAGTTATCATTTTATAAGATAACTGAAAAAGGACCTGACATCAATAATTAGTTGCTAAAATATTATTAATAAGCAATATTAGATGTGAACATAATAAAAGGATCTTTTTTAGATATGCAAGGACACATACATTCCACTCTTTAAAAATGTAATTGATTAATATACATTTAATAATTTAATTAGCCACATTAGAAAAAAGAGAAAAATATTTATAGGGAAATATTAGATAAACTTTTATAAATTATAAATAAAAATAACTTGTGCCATTTAAAAAAAAAAATCATATAGAACTTACATACTATATTAGTAAATTATTTTCAATGAGGTGTGATTTTTAATTTGTGCCATTATTTTATAAAAATCTTCCAACTTTATCTTCCCAATAAGTAAGCCATTTAGATTAACTAATTATATTTAAAGCAATAGGACTTAAAAAGGGGCATTCTATTCATAAGAAAATTGATTGATAAGATTATGGCTGGGTTTTTATGAAAATAAAAAATGCATTTATATCAAGATAGTTTATTTATTTAAATGATAAATATAATTTCACAGAATAATACTATGTCTTTCTTCAATTACAATTTTGATAAACAACGTATGCTTAACGTCGGATTTTAAAATGGCTATATTGTGGTTTTGTAACAGTCTTTTCATTGCTAAACTCAGCCTTCTCAATTTTAGAGCTTGGACTACCAATCTTTTGCAGCCATGATTTCCTATTCGATTATAAAAGATTGAGCTTATTGCTATATGGAAAATATAATATTATAGGACATACATTTCATCAACGCTTCTGGGGGTTCCTTCAAGTTGTCCCTTCACTGTGCCACTCGCTGTATTCATACACCAGCCTGTAATCTTTAATCTCTCGGCTTGTTGTGCAGTATGCTGGAATAATAAATAATAAAATTGATATGATTCATAACCATTACTATAATTTGGCCAATATATTCATTGAAAAAAGCAAGTACTGACCTTTCTGAAAAAGACACCTGCAAATAAAAGTATATTAAAACATGATTGATTCATACATTTCATTGACATCAAAACTAACCTTGAACTTTGCCGAAAACTTCAAAGTCTATAGTTATTAACTGTTTATTTGTGGAAGCCATTCTATAAAAAGTTACTGTAATTAAAATGGATAAAATTACTATAAATATTGTTTTACTGATTGTCATTTGTTATTTTTCGCACACAATTGTTGTTAAGAACATTGCGGCTCTAAACAAAACTGTCATAATAAAAAACTTACTTGGGTTGCTAATTCCTGCCAGTTGAATTAATTTAAGAATCATGAGCTCAAAATTAATCTATAATAGAACATGGGATGTAATAAATGGTAAATAAATAACTAATTATGCAATTAAAATTTATTTTGAGTACTTTAAAGGATATGCGCATAAGCAATAGGTTTGTTTAATCAATACAATATCGATATTTTGAAAATGCAAAATAGATCCTAATTAAAACAAAAATTAATTGAATCCTGAATTGGCATCATAATAATATCGTTATTAGTTGTCATAAAGTTCATAATTTAACATAAATTATTCAATTTGGCCTAAATCCTATTATAGTATATAACTATATAACTATATATGAGGTAACTATATATAGTTACTATAGTCATAGTAACTATACTCTTCTTTTACCTATGACTATAGTTATAGCATCGGATAAAATTTTATTAAGGATATTATTTAGTATCTATGAAAAGTTCCCAAAGTATGCGAGAAAATCCGATTTGCTGATATGTATAATGTTATTTGACCTGTCAAGTAATTCTGAATCGAATGAGACCAAATTTGGAAAAAGTATGTGTGGGCTATGTGTGTGGGAGAGTGTAGACTGCTCTTGATAATGGTTGTCTGAATGAAATAAATATAGAAAATTAGATCTATTTATGATTAGATAATAAGAAAATTGAATGTTTTATATATTATGAAATTATTCCAATCGTTTTATATTAGCACAAAGTTATTATTTTATAAGATAACTGAAAAAGGACCTGACATCAATAATTAGTTGCTAAAATATTATTAATAAGCAATTAATTTTAAACAATATTAGATGTGAACATAATAAAAGGATCTTTTTTAGATATGCAAGGACACATACATTCCACTCTTTAAAAATGTAATTGATTAATATACATTTAATAATTTAATTAGCCACATTAGAAAAAAGAGAAAAATATTTATAGAGAAATATTAGATAAACTTTAAATATTAGATAAATAAAAATAACTTGTGCCATTTAAAAAAAAATTCATATAGAAGTTACATACTATATTAGTAAATTATTTTCAATGAGGTGTGATTTTTAATTTGTGCCATTATTTTATAAAAATCTTCCAACTTTAACTTCCCAATAAGTAAGCCATTTAGAATAACTAATTATATTTAAAGCAATAGGACTTAAAAAGGGGCATTCTATTCATAAGAAAATTGATCGATAAGATTACGGCTGGGTTTTTATGGAAATAAAAAATGCATTTATATCAAGATAGTTTATTTATTTAAATTTATAAATATAATTTTACAGGATAATACTATGTCTTACTTCAATTACAATTTTGATAAACAATGTATGCTTAAAGTCGGATTTTAAAATGCCTATATTGTGGTTTTGTAACAGTCTTTTCATTGCTAAACTCAGCCTTCTCAATTTTAGAGCTTGGACTACCAATCTTTTGCAGCCATGATTTCCTATTCGATTATTAGAGATTGAGCTTTTTGCTATATGGAAAATATAATCTTATAAGACATACATTTCATCAACGCTTCTGGGGGTTCCTTCAAGTTGTCCTTTCACTGTGCCACTCGCAGTATTCTTGCACCAGCCTGTAATATTTAATCTCCCTGCTTGTAGTGCAGTATGCTGGAATAATAAATAATAAAATTGATATGGTTCATAACCATTACTATAATTTGACAAATTTTATTAAACAAAGAACTGACCTTTCTGAAAAAGACATCTGCAAATAAAAGTATATTAAAACATGAGTGACTCATACATTTCATTAACATCAAAACTAACCTTGAACTTTGCCGAAAACTTCAAAGTCTATAATTATTAACTGTTTATTTGTGAAAGCCATTCTATAAAAAGTTACTGTAATAAAATTACAATAAATATTGTTTTGCTGATTGTCATTTGTTATTTTTCGCATACAATGGTCAAGAACATTGCGGCTCTAAACAAACAACTGTCATAATAAAAAACTTACTCCTGTCAGTTGAATTAATTTAAGAATCATGAGCTCAAAATTAATCTATTATAAAACATGGGATGTAATAAATGGTAAATAAACAACTAATTATGCAATTATTCAATTAAAATTTATTTTGAGTACTTTAAAAGATATGCGCATAAGCAAAAGGTTTGTTTAATCAATACAATATCGATATTTTGAAAATGTAAAATAGATCCCAATTAAAACAAAAATTAATTGAATCCTGAATTGGCTTCATAATAATATCGTTATTAGTTGTCATAAAGTTCATAATTTAACATAAATTATTCAATTTGGTCTAAATCCTATTATAGTATATAACTATGAGGTAACTATAGTTATAGTAACCATATAGTAACTATTCTCTTACTTTTATCTATATTATTTATCTATATCTCTATTATTCTAGTTATAGTACCATATAGTAACTATTCTCTTTCTTTTATCTATGACTATAGTTATAGCATCGGATAAATTTTATTAAGGAAAAATGCGAGAAAATCCGATTTGCTGATATGTATAATGTTTTTTGACCTTTCAAGTAATTCTGAATCGAATGAGACCAAATTTGGTAAAAGTATGTGTGTGAGTGTGTGCATGTGACTCGATTTTTGAAAGTTCGTCAAAGTTTTCTCAAAAACTTGGACTGATCCTTGTGGTACTCTACATGTTAATTTGCATATTTCACTTGTGCAATTTCCAATCTTTGTCTTTGTTATTTTTTCTGCCAGAAAATCCTTTATAAAATTTTAAAAGTAAATGCAACTTGCTTTAATGGGCACAACTAGTGTGAAATTTTCAAAAAGTCGAATTTTAAATTTTTCCATATTTAGACAGATTATACCTTTAAAAATAACATATCAAAATTTTAAATCGATATCTTAAATAGTTTTTGAGACACAGCCATTTAAAGAGTATATATATAGTATACAATATAACGATCATTTAATCTTTAAACGCATTTTTCTCGAAACAGCATTTTCCGAATTTGCTGCAGTGATTACTCAAAAACAAATGATCCGATCACTATCAAAATTTTTTTTACATGTTCTATATATAGTTCTTCGTAAAATGAACTATCGATTTTTTGATCGGATCAATAATCGAATTTTGGCAATCCAAAAACGACCAAAATTTTGGGTAAAAATCGACTTTTTTAAAAAAAACGCCGTCATTTTGTCAATTTTTGATTTTTTTCTTTATCCTAGTTCATTTTACAGACAATATTATCTAGTTTAATGAAAAATCTAGTTTAACAAGATTTTTTTTTTTAAATTTTATCCACGTAGAAGGCCGGAATCACTGCAACAGTGAAGGGCCTTTTTTTGTCGCGCCGTTGGAGATCGACGATAACTTAAAAAATATTTAATTTTTTTCTTCAAAAATTTTACTATGTATTTTTAAAACATGTATAAACATATTCCTAATTTTAAAATGATTGATAAAGTAGTTGTTTTAATATAAATTCCCAAAAATCACCTTTTTTTAGGCGTTTACACTAGTTGTGCCCCTTAAGGCAAAATCATCAGTTTTGATTGAACAGCATGTAAAATGATGAAAACAAACAAAAAATTAAACTGTTTTTTCAATATAATTAGTATGATTGATACATTCGTTCAAAATTAAATAATATGCAATAGTTCCTGACATTTTGAGAAACCCTGAAGCAAGTTCCCCAATTGCAGAAGCAGAAGTGTCGATTGATTTTTTATTGATCAAGTCGATTATTATCAAGTTCTCGCAACTTGCATTAAAGCAACATGCCACTTACATCTAGTTAAAATATTAATTTAGATATTAATTGCTTTAAAATTAATTTCAAATTATATATGTATTGTTGTCATAAACGACTTATAACGACGACAGCGCCATTCGGCGAGTATTGAAAACATTAATGTCATTTAAACATGAATCACTGTAAAACAAGTGTGACAAATTGCGCAAATGACGTAAAAGATTGATCTGTGAATAGATAATATTTCGCGTACTATTAAATCAATGAAAAAATCTTATCAGTTTCAAAATTCTATCAAAAATATGGTTGCAATACAGTAATCCAAAATGTATTCAAAAGCAAAAAATATATTTTACTGTAAACAAAGCAAAGTCTCTTAAAGTGTATATAATGCAGAACATTTAATATATTACATGGTGAATGTAATTAATTATTCTATTACGCAATTTATTACATGCAAGATTAGTTTTACAAATCATTGATTTTAATTATACTTATTACATAGTTCAGTTTATTTTATTATAGGATTTATTCAACAGTTTATTCAGAGTTTAATACAAAGAAATGTGTACCTTCTGTGATATTTGGAAAAATATAACATTGTTAAATATAAATCAATAGTGACTATAAATATTATAAGATTTATATTTAAATCATCTTTTACCATGCATTTTGTCAAAATAGTGGAAGGTTTATCAACATATATTATTAAATATTTCTAAATGACTTCAAAGTTTCAATATTTGATGATTTTACAATATTACTGATATTAAAAATGGATTCCTCTCCTATAAAAATCTGTGTTGTTTGTGGAGATAAAGCCTTAGGCTATAATTTCAACGCAATCACTTGTGAAAGCTGCAAAGCATTTTTCAGACGTAATGCACTTTCTCCTAAAAGATTTAAATGCCTATTCGAAGGGCATTGTGAGGTGAACGTAGTAACCAGAAGATTTTGTCCTTGCTGTCGACTGCAAAAATGTTTCAAGGCAGGAATGAAAACTGAATACATAATGTCAGAGGAAGACAAAGTATTAAAGAAGAAAAAAATTGCTCAAAATAAAGCAAAAGAACGGAAGACTTCTCATCCTGTTGATAATATTGATGTTAAAAAGGAGCAGGTTGATAATATTGATGTTAAAAAGGAGCATGTTGATACACAGGTACCACATGTTGATACTACAGATATAGAAGCTTGCGGAGTCGATACAATTCGGGGTATGTTGGTTCCAGGAGATAGAATAGTCAGTTGTAATGATGGGGTCGCACAAATTAATAAGAAGACGAGCACTGATGATGTAGCAAAAGATACAGTACAGCAAGTAGAAAAGTAATAGTTGAATATAAATACTGTTATTATATTTTTTATATTAATAAATATATATTTTAAGCATATTTCTATTTCCATTCAGGGTGCCTGTTGAACCAAATTCTATAGAATCAATATTGTGTGAAGCAATCAAGTTAGAATTTGGAGCGTTCAGTTCTCTTGCCCAATTCAATAGTTCCAATCGAGAACTAAATGATGCTGAGCGAGCAAAATTAAATGAATTAATAGTAGCAAATAAAGCTCTCTGTGCACCACTTGATGAAGATTTAACTAATCTTGTGGATGATCATTGTAGATATAAGGTAAAACATAAGAATTAACTAAATTATTAAAGAAAATATTACTGCAATTAAGGATTATATTACTGGGATATAGGGTTATATTTTTCTTTCCTTAATTTTTTTCTGCAGACAAATCATGGACAACAAGAACCAATGTTACTAGGTGTTATAAATTTAACAGCAGTAGCAATTAGGAGACTAATAAAAATGGCCAAAAAAATTAGTGCATTTAAAAATATGTGCCAAGAGGATCAAGTTGCTCTTTTAAAAGGTGGTTGCACAGAAATGATGATTCTTAGAAGTGCCATGACTTATGATTGTGATCGAGATACATGGAAAGTATGTTGAACATTACTTTTTTATCTCTTTAGCGCTCATAGCAATAATACAAATAAAATATGTCTCGTAGTGTGCACATTTTAAGATAAAACATTGAAAAAAATTAATAATTTCAAGAATTATAGACAACACTTATTATAGGAAATGAGTTAGAAATGAAAAGTAATAAACTAAAGCTGAAACCTTAATTTCAGATACCCCATATTCAGGAAGCCATGTCTAATATTAAAGCAGATGTTCTAAAATTAGCAAAAGGAAATGTATATCAAGAACATGAAAAATTCATAAGAACATTTGATCAACGATGGAGAATGGATGAAAATATAATTCTTATCATGTGTGCCATTACATTATTTACTCCTGACAGACCAATGACTGTTCATTCTGATGTAATCAAATTGGAACAGGTGAAAACCTAGAACTATTTATATATCTAAAATATGTAATAGTTTTCACAAATAATTTAATTTTGTTTTAGAATTCTTACTATTACCTATTGAGGAGATACTTGGAAAGTGTCTATTCAGGTTGTGAAGCAAAATCCACATTCCTCAAATTAATACAGAAAATTTCTGAACTACATCGTTTAAATAATGAAGTTATTAGTGTTTATTTAGATGTTAATCCATCACAAGTAGAACCTCTACTCATAGAAATATTTGATATAAAGTCACGTTGACGTTAAAAGCATAGAAGCTAATATTATTGTTTTAATTTTAGAGTTTATCTTTATTGAACTGTATAAATTTATACAATGTGATTAAATATTAGTATTATGAAAATATATTTTTTAGTAAATTGAATCATGTTTCAATTAATTGATATTATTGATGATATCAATAATATTTTATGTATCTGAATGGATATTGTAACGACAATTGGCATTGTCGTCAAAGGGTTGCACAACCCTCAGTGCAAATGGACTTTCCCACCCATCTTTACTAGGGTTCCTGCAATGTAGTCCAAGTCGAGGGTTGAAAATTTTCATTAGAAAATGTAACATCCTCCGAGGAGGTAGATCGGGTGCAGGCATCAGCCCTTGGACCTGCTTAGTGTGTAGTGGTGTGTGTGTTGTGCCAGGAAAGAAGAACCTGTTCCAGGAAAGGTCAGATGTATTATTGTTTAGTAGCTATTTCCTCCGATACTGCGTTTCCGATACTCCGTTAAGCTAGTTTGTTACGTTACTCCATTATTAATGAATTATCCCACACGAAGATTGAAAAAAAAATGGCCATACGATCTCAAATAAAGCGTCAAAAGTAAAAAAATAAGTGAGATATCTCACAGGAGATAATCTCTTAAATGCTTTAACACCAACATCACATTGTCTGAAAAAAAAGTATTAATTAATAAGGATTTATCAGTACATTAGAGTTTAGGCACAGGTCATGACTGTACGTAGGTACAGTCATGCCTTCAGATCTGTAAACATAATTAGTTAAATTAAATAAGATAAATGTGCATTCTGTTTCAATCGCGTAGTTAGTTGGTTTAGTTTCAACAGGTAATTACAGGGTGTTCATAGAAGTCGGGTTAAGGAGTTGGAGTAACCCTTGCGTAATGGGGATGCAATGCTAATATTTATAATATAATATTTGGCAGTCATTGCAATACCCCCGAGAAAGTGGCCATCAACCTTAACTCGTCGCAATATCTAAAATTCAAATGCCATTTGTAAATTAGGATGCTTTTTTTATTAAATATTTATTACATATTATTATTATTACTATTACATAAAAAATCTAGAATATTTTCATTTTTCAAAGTGTCTAAAGAATATGTTAAAGTGTTAAAAGAACAACTCATAGCCTCATAGACAACTCATACCAATGTTGTTAGTTGTTTTTTTAAATCAACTTTTTTATTCTTATAACGGACTTGGATATATAATATATTCGAATTACAGCTAAACATCACCAAAATCGAAATCTCTTGTTATTTGGGAAAAAATGCTATTGATTTTTTGGGAAAAAAGCTCTTGTTATTTGGGAAAAATTGTTATTGATTTTTTTAAATGATTGATGTGAATAACAATATTTTTCAATTTTAAATGATACTTCTTGGTTTCGGCCTTCTAACATTTTATTTTTTGATATTCATGAAATAATATTTATTTTTCATATTCTTCATTCATTAATTTTAATTCAACTAAATTAAATATTTTCAAAAAGTTATATAAATATTATTAAAAACGAAATAAAGGTAAAATTCATCTCTTCTCTTATCTATAGTAAAATTAATAACATAAACCAACTTTTTTTTTAAGTATTAAAGCAATCATTTGCGAGAGATGGCAACAGTATTTTGGAAAAATTAAATCAATGCACACAATCGTCATTTATGTCTTTAAGTTGTACAGGAACGGTTGTTTTTACATTGATATCGAAAAAAGTGAGTTAATATATTTTATAAACACATTTTACCTAAAACTTAATATTATTAATAAGTAATCATCCCGAATAAAACACGTAATAATTTATTTTAATTTTATTTTAAGACATATTTGCATTAAAATACATATGATATTAGCGTGATACACTTGCATATTTGGAAACGACAAATTTTCTACAATTTTACACTTTATTAAATTAAATATACTATGTCCTATTTTTAACATACACAGTACGAATAGGTTTATTTTCTTGAATTTAATACACAGTACAATAATAGTATTATTATATGCAATATTATTGCACATCACATTAAAATCATATCTGAACAATATCAGATTTAGAACGCATAAACGTACCTTTGAGTCTATGAAAGATATGATTATGTAATAATTTAAATCGGTAATAACTACATATTTCTCTAAGAATATTGAAATTTATTTTTAAAATATTAAATCTACTATTCATATACTTGATTTATAATTTATTAACTGATATTTGTTTATAGTTCTTCAAATATATTCAAAGATTTTAATAATTTAATACAATGTCATTAATTAATATTTTTTAACAAATGACAATAAAAATTTTGCCTACTATTTACAAAGCACTTAAAAATAAATCGCACTGAATGATTGCATCTACTATTCTAACATAACTAACGTAAGGCATGATATTTTTCAACATCATAATATTTTTATATTTAATTATCAGTCAATATTTTTTATCATTTTGAATTTTCTTGAGTGCTATATACAAAGCCTGACTCGGTGGGTTTATTTACAAAATTATATACAACTTAACTTTTAAGCATTAATACCAATTATAATTTTTAGAAATATATTTCTAGTATTCCATCATGAATGTATTCTATAATCAGATATGACGTACATTTTAAATATAAATATAAATCGTTTTGAATTTGATATGTTATGACGTAGTAACAATGATGATTTATTGGATCAAAACTTTATTATGTAATTATTGCTTGATATTGACCTTGCTACTTGGCCATCCCAGTGTTTGTCAACAACAAACATTTTGTTGTTGGAAACAAATATTTTGATAGTTTTCAAATATGATACCTTCTATGTCATGGTATTATCAATTACAATTTTTGATAGTCTTTTGTATTTTTACTTATTACAAACCAAAATTTCAAGAAGTTGCCATCAATTTTGCGGCTTGGATGACATTGTGTTGATGATGGTATCCACTCAGTGAATCTACAGCACTGCTTTGTGAATGACTCAAAGGCGTACCAAAACTGGTTCCTGTGAAATAACTTCCAGGAAGACAATTATTCATGTAATCGTATTCACTAGGTTCATTTTTCACATGCTGATACCCCGAATTGATCGACGAAGGTGTGTGCATTGTATGATGATGGCTCATGGATGAAGATAATGGACTGTGGTGAGAAAGATGACTATTCACATGTTGCGGATTCATGTTGCCAGCACTGGATATATTGTTGTTACTACTATGTTGCTGATGGTGATGTTGCTGACTAGTACTGTGGTGATGTAAATTCTGAGGTTGTTGTTGCTGGTGATGGTGTGTAGTTAAGTTTGCGCTGCTTGTCGCAGGTAACAAGGATGTGTGGCCTAAATACGGTCGCTCACTGATACTTGTCGGAGTTTGTTGACCATTCGTGTTATGGCTTTTGTTGATCTCATTATCAACAGAGGATGGTGTGGTTTGGTGGTGGCTTGCAGAAGTAGTCTGTTGCTGAATTGGCGGTTTGAGATCTGTGAAAAGTACTGGATTAGATTGGATTCAGGTATCTAGAAATCAGTTTTTTAGATAATATTATCCCCCTTACCTTCAGCTGGAGAAGAGCTCTCCTTCCTGGTAGTTTCGCTAACAGGCGTTGTGCTATTTCCACTTCCTATGCTGCCTCCATTTCCTCCGCCCTGCTTCTTGGGTTTTCGTTTTCTGGTCTGGATGCCATCTTTCCGCATGGCCAATGGCCTATTGACGCCGTGCAGCTTGAAATATAAACCGCAAGCATTGCATACCGGCTCGCCTTCATTATTTCGCCGCCAAAGAGTTGTCGTGCGAGTTCCGCAATTCGTGCAGCACAAACCCAAACGGCGCGTTGCAGTCTGGAATTGAAAAGAATTTTAAAGATTAGATAAAATGAATAAATAAAAATTATAAATATTGAACTGTTTTAGACCGCACACCATATTTGGATATATTTTTTAACAGAATAACATGATCTATGGAGCTGTACATTCCAACATAGTATTTTTCACAGAAAGGTAACCTAGGGGTGAAGTACTCTCCTATATTATATATTTTGACTATATTTGCTGGATATGCTTATCTAAGTGTTGGTGTTTATGTGTTGCGGCCACATCCATAAAATAGATATTTTTATCTGAGACCTATAACTTTGTTATCAGTGCAAATTTCCCATACAGCACGGGTCAAACAATGGTCGACTTGTTTGGTTCCATGTACAGCCTACCGTGTTATTACAAGCCCATTATGGGCCAATTTATAACCCAGTTGGTTTAGACCCATACGTTGGCCACCGGGTCAAACAATGGTCGACCTACCGGGTTATTATAAGCCCATTATGGGCCCATTTAACCATAACCGGCCTCTTAACGATAACTCCCCGGCTCACGAAAAGTAACTAACTAGAGATAGTTGTAATTGCTAACGTACAATAATCTTAAAATTACTTGTTATCAGACGAATTTTCCGAGTATTTTAAAGTTCTTGCATAATACGTCATCTCCAAATATAGAACAAAATTTTAGAAAAAAAAATTTGAACACTATAAATCACGTTGGTACCCATGTCAGTCATGTGTGCCTAACGCTAAGGTGTTATACATGAGCCATGTCAGGCATACATGTCTGACATAGGCAATCCGGTAGAAGGAAATAGGGTTTTAATATAGAGCCATGTCAGTCACATATGAGAGCTATAAAAATTTCAAAAACAAAATCATTTTTCTTTGATACACTAAATTTTCATAAAACATTTTTACCGAAGTTATCTAATAAAGTTACCACATCCCTTGTGAAAAAAAATCTGATATTATTGTGGCGATTAATATGATAATACATAATTTCGTTAATATTTCACTCGCATTTACTAATAATTTATTAGAATGTCTTTGCAGACCTATTGCGATCAATTTATTAAAATTATAAGCAGAATAAAATAATTTACATTAGTAGTTTTATTATCACTGACATTAAAAGTACAATATATCAAATTTGCCGACACAGCTATTTATGCAAATCCGCAAACATCGCAGTAATTAAAAATCGTAAATAACATAACATCTTATGCATTCAATTAATAATTAGCTGTTTATTGTTTATATAGAAAATAATAATTTACCATAAGCCAACCGTACCTGCCATAGATAAAGCTTTGCATAGATAACTATCATGAAACTGCGTTGTGTGAGGTTCAGTTATTTTATATGAATAAACAACACTATGTTCGGATATTTAATATAATTAATCTTACCAGTCGTTTGCTGGGTTTGATCAGGGGCCGGTTCATTCCGTTCATCTTGTGGTAAAGTCCGCAGGCGTTGCAGAGGTAGTGCCCTGTGCCGTCCCTGCGCCACAGTGGCGTAGAAATTGCACCGCAGTTGACGCACTCGCGCCCTTCACCGAATTGGAAATCCATCGAACCATCTAAAAAAGAAAATGACATAATTAAATCAGGTTTATTCGGTTGATATTCTTGATATTCTATTAAAATATAGAATATCAAGAATAATATAATAATAAAAAAAAAATCATTCTTTCTTGAAATGAAAACAAATACTTATGAAGCCGATATTCTTAATTCTATCGTAACATGTAAAAAAAAAATTTTTTTGATTATTTTTTTTTTAAAAAAAAATCGTGCAGAACGAGTACTTATGGAGCCGACGTGAGGCTTTAAAGTGGGGGAGGGGGCAATTTAAGTGAATTATAAAAAATTCAACATTTGTACAAAAAATTGCAAAAATTTTATCATTTTTTCTTGGTACTAGAAATGCACGTGATGTTGGTTGAGAGAGAGAGAGAGAGGGGGGGCGAGGGTTATAATTTTAAATATCACCAAGGAGAAGGAAGAGGTCCAAAAATCCTTAAAAATCGATCACGTGATCAATAATGGACTGTCCTTAAGTTGAGGTGATCACATTTTTTGTATTTCAAAGATTCTCAAATAATCTTCGACGTAAGGTGGAAAAATCCGAGAGTACCTATAGACCATTTGTACAAAACATTAATTTTTTTAACAAATATATAAAAGTTGCATAGCATGTGAATATTAGGCAAAGAATATTCTATTTATTAGAAATGCATTTTAAAGGTTGAGAGAGGGGGGGAGGGCGTTAATTTTAAATATCACCAAGGGTGAGGCCCAAAATCCTTAAAAATTGATAACGTGATTAATGGACGGCCCTCATAGTTAAGGTGATCATATTTTTTTTTTATTTCAAAAATTCTAAAAAAAATCCGGGACGTACGAGCCGGAATTAATGTACTATACATTAATATTTAATATAATACTATACATTTAACGAATATATAAAAATTGCATGGTATATAACTAAAAAGCAAATATCCCTTTCCACTAGCTAATTGCAGAGTAAGTACGTATTTTGTCGCCGGAGCGGTGGCATCCGAGTAGAGAGAGTTAAAAATGCATTTCAAAAAGTGGTTTAAAATTGCATGGCGAAAATTAAAAAAAAAATGCAATTTATTTTACAATATTTTAGAAAAAGGACTGAAGCATAAAAAAGTCTTTGAGCAACCTTAATTAATTGGTACTTAATATACTTGAAGTAAGTTAGACTTTGAGAACTTTAGTATGACTAGGCACTACATTTAAAAATTAAGATATTATAAAATTTAAAGTGAAAAGGGTGCATTGACTAATATGGATTAATTTACAATTTTGACACAAATTTGTAAAGGACAAAAAAGAAGCATTAAATAAATATGTACAACATGAAGGGCTTAAGTTGGGAATATGTAGGAATTTAGATAATGCATATGCCCTTAGCTAACAACTTCTAAACATTTAAAAAATCATTCATCATTATATAATATTAAAATGCAAAAAGCATAAAATTGCATACTTTGTTATGTGATTATTCATGTAAATTATATATATATATTACAATATTCTTAACTACTTATATATCTTAACACCTTCAATAACAATAATAATTGCTCATAAACATGAGTATATTTATGAGAATATAGATAAATAAATCTCAATTTAATTATTTTAAAATGTTAATTGATTTTCACCTCTATTAACAAGTATTAAAATTAATTTTATTTGCAATAACTCTTTTTTAATGTTATTTGCTACGCATTTATGCAATTGAATGTGTGCATTGAATTATGATATTGCTTCGTAAGACGGTAAATGTTGATCAAATGAAGGTGCAATTTGTGTGTGGGTACTAGATGAACTTTAAGAGGATATGTTGGGATAAAAATGCTTAATATACTAATATAATTGTTGTGATATTCACGTTTTTTAATGAATGGATACTTTGAATATCATTTGTGTAAAGTATTGTTTATGAAGAATATCAGTCAAATTCGCGTAAGAGTAAATAATCAAAGGTTTTATTGGAACTGCACGCCTTGCTATATATTTATTATTAAATAGTAATTCAATAAGATTCAGTTTCATCTATAACTATACCTAATTTTTTTTTATAACTTTATTTTGTATTTATAAATTTGCTTTCTACATATTTTATAATACATATATAATAAAATAATTTTATATTATTTATTAAATATATTATTTTTTCTTACCATAGGGTGATGTTCGTTGAAATCCTGCTGCGGTGTCGTAGGCCCTCCACGACATTGCATTCATCATCGCATTTTGGGCGTAAAATTGGGACGCCAAAGGCGACGAATGGGCAGTAGGAGCCCCTAAACTATGTGCTGCACTGTGGTGAGTCGATCCTAAAATAATTAAAAATTTTGATAATTTTCATGTACATACATCATACACCTTAAAAATTTAATACAATTCGGATTATTTTATAAGACTGCACAATTTGTTAAATTTATCAAAATTAAAGAGTCTTACTAATGGGTAACGCAAAATTACTGATCACTGAAAAATCAATGATTATTACACAAGATATAATTTGTGTAATTGTATCTATATTTCTATTGTTTTGCATAATAAATGCATTCGAAATAATTTTAAAATAAACTGATTTCTGTCTTGCGTCCCGGCTTTTTCTAAAAGCAATATTTGTCCCGGTTTTAGGTGTTTTGTCCAGAATCGTCCCGTATTTTTAAAAATGTTTTGATTGCCAAAATTTTTTTAAATATATTTCAACTAGAAAATGTGAACGTATTAATTTTTTAGCTCGAAAACATACACCCCCTCCCGCTCCCCTGCCCCGGATTTCATGCAAAAAAATTTGGACACCTTACTTTACACAATCTTAACAAAGTACATACGTACTGATTTAGAATTTGTTCATAAATTATTGCTGACAGTTTTAATTATTGTATAACTCAACTGTAACTTGTATAGTAAAACACTTTACAAACATAAATTAAAATATCGTGTACTACCTATATAAAAAAGTCAATTCTATTACTATCTAGTTTTGAATAATAATAAATACTCAATGTCGATTAAAGTATTATAAAAAAAAACAATTTTTAGTCTGACATAGGTTAGATACAGTTATTATGTATAAAATTCTTATTGTTATACTAAATGGTGTGATCTTGATTAAAAATAATCGTTCTTCTTTAGATAAAATAATCGAAAATAAAAATAGTATCTCTAGATACTATAGAAAAATAGAATGGAAAAATGGAAAAATGGAAAACTGGAAAAATAGAAATAGTATCTCTGAAAAATTGAAAAATTAAAGAACGAATTATCAATTAAACTAATAAAAAAAACAAAATTCAAACGGAAGTATGGACACCGAACTAAATTTAACCATCTAAAATTATCACTGAACACTTAAAAATATATTTTACTATTTGACTTGTTATTATTATATATATTATATATCTACTGTAAGAAGACTACTGAATTACAGTAGAATCTGAAGAATTATTATTACAGAAGTAATAATCCTAAGCGTCCAAAGCTTTAGACAATGTTTTGGAAATCAGCTGAAAATGTTTCGAATTTTTTACCATAATCCAGTAATTTCAACATTTCAATATTCCGGTACTTTTTGATTTTTTAAATCCAGTCATTTAAGCTTAAATTTGGTAAGAATCGCGGAATTCGAGATATTCAGCTGGTAAGTCTGTAAATACTTGTATATTGACACCCTGAAGTTGTCTCAAAACCTACATATGGTATTGACACCCTACTATATGTAGGTTTTGAGATAACTTTAGGTTGTCAATATACAAGTATTTACAAACCTACAGCTGGGTATCTCGAGTTCCGAGGTGAACCTACTATAATGACTGGACAATTCTAGTAGTACCAGATTAAAAAAATTGTACTCTATTTTTTTATATCTTACCGTATCCGTCGGAAGCATGATGCCACGCGTTCTGCGGCACCGGAGTCGCCCCGAAATGTCCGGTGCTCGCATACTGTCCAGCATGGGGCAGCGCCCGGCTGGACGGCACATAGACCGGAGCCTGCGCCTGGTGAAACATTCCGGTCGTTCCTCCCGTCATATCTTGTCCGTAGCCCGCGCTAGAACCGCCGCTACTGCCGTGAAACATAACACGAAATACACAGGACTTAGTTAATGCACTTGTCCAGGGAATGGATAATTATCCGGAAAATTGAGTTTTATTTAGAACTTTTTATTCATTCTTGGATATAAAGATCACAAGAGTTTGGAATCACGATTTAATATCACTTTATTTTTTAAATTTTATTTATCGTTCTTATATAGAATACTGTTTGATCATTATTAATGTTTCACTTTAAACTTACAACTGATATAAATCACTTGTGTTAAAATTTATATCAACATTTGGACAAAACACTTCAATAACAACAAAATCGTTGTAATTTATTGCAATTTAAATTATTAACCACATATTATTATAAAACTATGAACTCCTTGACATATTCCTTGACGCTCTATAGATCTGGATAATAATCTGAAAAAAAAAACGAGAAAATTGTTAATACTATTAGTGATGGATATTATTGATAATATTTTACTCAAATAGGATAATAAATATTGAATGTTAGTTTCATGTTAATATTTTTCTACTAATTAGATAGGTCTTTTATCACAGCGATGAGAATTCGGTGTTCTTCGATGTGTGTTTTTTGTTGTACATTTTAACCTAGTATTTTATTCGAAAAATTCGTCAAAGTTTGCAAAAAATAATACCGTTTTTTTTTGGCATTTGTCAAAATTAGACCTTTGATTCACATTTTCTCAAAAATGCCTGAACCGTTTTCAGAAATTTAAAAGCCATTTCATGTATCTCAATGAGGACTATTATTCGTCAGTTCTGTGCGACGATTTGCCGAGTCGTTTCTTTGTAATTTGGAAAAAAGTGTTAAACTTTTCGTCCACATTTAAGCTCATACTACCGAATTGATTTTAAAAATTCGATAACTGTTCGAAAGATGTTAGTTGGGAATGATACTGATTAGTTTTAGATGAAAATCTACCGAGCAGTTTCTTGTAATTAATTGTTGAAAAAAAATTGAACCGATTTTTATGAAACTTTTTTTGATGATATATATCATGGTCTTATACAACTTATTGAAATATTACCGCCTTACGACAAGTACTTTAATTTTAAAAATTTATCAAAGTTTGAGAAAACGAGTAGTTTTTTTGACGTTTGTTAATATATAAATTAGATGATTTACTTGGTATAACGATAGAGTACTTGGTCTTAATAAACAAACTAAACCATTAAAATCCCACGGAAACTGGTTCAATTATAAAAATTGTTGATTTTTGAAAATTTGCTTTTAGAAAATACTCAGAGTTAACGTGTTAATTTGCTTTCAATTATGTGTTATAAATCCACTCGGAATACTTTTAATCACTCAAAAATTAATTTATTTTTTATTGATTAATTCGATTAATTACACATATCGGGAAGTTCATGTAATTTGCCTCAAGGCAAAATACCAATACGAACTAGTTAGGTTTTATTTTTATAAACAATTTTTTTAAGATAAGTATTTTATTACTTTACAGTCTTGATTAAATACGCCAACTTTTGATAAAACTTACAGCATCTTTAATACCTAAAAAGAGGGTTTTTTCAAAGTCAACTAATTTAAAAAAAAATAAATTCATATATCAACAAAAAGTCTAACATCTTGAAAACTCGGAACAATTGTGATATTTTTTACTGCGATCTTAGAAATGTTATTCACGGTTACAATTCTAAAGCTTAAATAAACAAAATTAATATAATAATCAATCACAATTACCAAAAAATGATCATAATTTCATCAAAGCTCTAGGTTGCACTTAAAAGCTCACAATTTCCAAACAACGTGTGATAATTTTTTTTCGGTAGAGTTAAGGTCAATAACATCACCCTTTTTTGGCTTGACGTTAAGTTCTGGGACACCCTGTCTCATATGTTGCTGCAACGACCAAAAAAAGCAATTTTCACTTAAGATTATATTTGAGATAAAAAACTTCAAGAGTAAATTTGATTTCATACTGCTTGATATCGAGCTGGTCGTTGTTGATATGAAATATTGAACTACTTGGTTTTAGTTAGTTACTTATTTAGTCCATATTCTTAAACACACAAAGGGCTTGATCAGATAATTTCAACAATATATATTGACTAGTTTTTCATTAAATATTTCACTAAACACAATTTATCTAAAGCAAATACAAATTACCATATTTGTTAGTAATTACACTTCTTCTTCATTACAACTTTTTTTTAAATGTTCATTTTATACTTTTCCAAATAGATTCCATTGTCCTTTACAAGACCACAATGAAAATCTGTAGTTGTTAACTATCTGAAATATTTTGCTTGATTGTGTGCTTTTTTAAAACATAGTACTTATCGAGTCCATTTTTATCTCAATGTAGATAAATAAAACAAAATATCATTTCCATTGTCCCCTCCATGACTTGTTATATGATCCTCTTGGAGATTGTTGCACATGGCCGATGTAAAAATTTAAATTGAGCTTGTATCAAAATTGATGTGTAAAAATATTTTTTTTGACATGCATTTGATAACATGCAATAGTAAATTGAGCTATTAGAAATGGATCGAGATCTCAGTGAATAAAATAAATCATACATAGACATAAAAATGCTACATAGAATGCTATCAATTAGTTTTGTACAATAGAATAAATTTCAAATTTTAATTTATTTCGATTTTTAGTTTTTTAATTAATATATGGGATTCATCATCGCACACTAAATAAGTTTTAGCTTTTTTACCATTATCAAAACTTATGTCTATTAGTAAGATTTTAGTGATTACTTCCAAAAAAATGGTTTCATCGTTCTGCAAACGTATTTAAATCATTTATCATTTATCTAAAGTATGAAATAAAAGTTAATATTTAAATTACAACGTAGTTTATCATCATTTTATAATGGTATTGTCCTTTTCTAATAATCACATTATATGAGAAGATAATGTTATCCATCCGCTGGGACGACTGTTTCGATAGTAACACCAGGATCTCGATAATTGTTCTTTTATCGCAAAGCTAACAAATTTAATTATCCAAAACCATCATTTAGAACATCAGAACAATGAATTTAATCAACTACTTCATAACCAGATCTCGAAGTTAAATATCACACTTACTTTTATAAAATTGACAAGGATAATTGACTCTTGATTTTGATTTTGATAGACATTACGTTAGTCTATAATAATGTCTATGATAATTATTATATTCATATTAAAATAATGTATTTTATTGAAATCTTTCAATTTGATCCACCAGATAAGATATATAGTTAGCTGATTCTTTTCTGTTTTTCTGATATGCTAAAAAATATATTTTTTGAAATAATTAATTTTCAGAATAAGGTTTTGTATCTAATGTAAATGACTTGTGCTGCAAAATATTTGTTTTATTAATATTTTCTTTTTTGAACAACAATCAGAACTATTTTTATGTGTTCTGTGAGCTGTTGTAATGTAGATCCTCACTTCTACCATTATTAGAAAACCCAGTGTTGTCCATATTCTTCATGATAAAATTATTGTTAGACTTTCCTAATAGTGATATGATATATAAATATAGCAATAAGGCTATTTTTACCAGAAATTGTGTTTTGATCTATATTTAAAGTAAAAACTGATATCACTACTACTTGATATCAGTTTATACGAAATGACTAGAATCTGCATGTGCAAGACCAAAGTTTTTGTCATTTGAGCCACGAGGAAGTTCATAAAATACTTGTGTAGCGAATTTTATTAATATCTCATATTTAATAATTCCAAAATGTAGCACCTTAATATACAAAAATGTATCAAAAATACGCCAGACGTAAAAAGTTCAATGCCCTTGATAAAAAAAAATTATTAAATAAAGTAACATATTTTACAATAAAATATTAAGTGGGATGTTCTAAATTTTGAGCAAAATTAACCATTGTATTGATAATATTATTGGATGGATTTAAAAATATCAATTTGTTTTTTCATTTTGCAGTCACAATACCTTCGGAAAATTCAATAACAATAAATTTTTATTCCAAATGTAATTAAAAGTAAAATTTTCAAACATTTTTTCCCATTAAACTTGAATACTAGGCAAAATTATGCCGGTAAATTTTCACATTATTCAAATATATTATATATAATTATATATGCAATTGATTATTGTACCTGTCCCATAAACCACAATTGTGATTTATGGTTCTGGCATTTATTACTTTATCTCTAACAACTGGTTAATTAGTGCAATAATAATGGAAAATGTTTGCCATTCGTATAGTGCATATATGTATAATTTGCATAAGTCAAATAAATATATATAATATATATAATAAGTTTATTTGGCATCCACGTGCCACATAGAACAGACATAAACTGGAAATATTAAATAAATTAAGAGTAAAATAACATTTTTATTAAATGGAAATTCAAATTAATTATGAGTAAAATAGAAATTTAAATTAATTTTTTGAATGAATATCTGTTTCAATACTTTTGTGTTTATAATCATATATAAGTTATGGGTATTACTGTCCTAAAGCAAGTCTATGAGCTAAGTTAACTCGATTAAGGGAAAAATAGTGTCCGGACGTATTTTTGTTCTATTATATTAGCCATGAAGGTGACAACCTTCAGGGCATTTAACTTTACAACTACGTGAAAATGCAAATAGTGTGAGAGATTTTCCAATGCCATTTCACACTGCAGTGTTCGAAACTGGGCTATTTTCAATTGAAAACATTTTTGATCTATATTTTCGAAAGAAAATTTATATCACTAATGCATGATATCAGGTTGTCCAGAGCGAGTGTTCGAACTCACGAGGCAGTGCGCTCAACCGTTACACCCAATAATCATTTATTGTAGATGTGTGTTTCCACATAACTTTTATGCCCCATTTCTTTAGCCCAGGCCGTTAATTAATGTTTCAGCTAACGTTTGTATTTAGATAATATTAAAACAGTACACATAATTGACCCGTATGAACGAACAATGAATTCAAACAAAACAATGTGTTTAATCACAAAAACGTTTCGTTATCTTCAACAAAAGATAATTGTCATTTATGCAAGTACGGC